TGCACACGATAACTGGCCAGTAAATAGGCTCTCATTTGCACACCACTATAAACGGCAAATTCTCTGCAAGGTCTGCAAGTTAGATTGTGGCATGATAACTACTTTCATTGGCAAAACTCTTGCGGACCTCTGGTAGGCTCCTTTTGCTTAGGAATTCAAATTCTTGTACGCTTTGCCGCTTTTGTGACAAGACCAATGAGAGTGTTCTCGTAGGCTAGTGATCACCATTGAACATTATTTATTTATCCTGGTTGTAACTTGTTCAGGATTTCCAATTGTTTTGAAATAACAATGAGCCTTAATATTCCTCTAGGTAAAGAACAAGAAACGCTGGAGTCAAGTCATGTACATGTCATATGTGTTAGATTTTAAAGAAAAGCTTATGGAAGGTAAGCCAAATTAACCTGTCTATTAAAGTTACTTCCTACCTTCGCGGGTGTCCTTCAGGAAAAAATTCGTACGCGCGCTAGTTTTAGGAAAACCCTAACAAACTATACATCAAAACAAAGCTTAATAAATGCAGTTTACTATGAAAATATAATTTAGGCGATTTTTTTTTATTTAGGAAGTGTCAGGAGCCGGTAAGGCGTGAAACGACCAAGGGTCCTTCTATTGAATTTAACGGATATCGGATCCCGCGGCACGAGAAAAATGGCTGCACAGTTTCATTCACAAGGCATCAATCAACAAAAGCATGTTAGGCTTTTCCGATATTCTGATTGGTTGTCTAGATATTCGCATCTAAAGTTTGAGTAGCGAAAAATATGCGAAACGTGTTGCGTAAATGGACACCACGTAAAAAATATTTCAAATATCACAATTTCCTGACACACTTTTGTTCGTCATCATCTCAGGAATGTGTTGCCTAAATTTCACGAAAATCGGTGAAATCTTCATACCCTATAAATTCGCCCAAAGGGGATGTATTCTTCTCAAAATCAAATGCGAGATTTTAGCTCCTATAGGTTTCTAAACAACTAGCGCCATACTAGGAGATTATCTCGCCTCCTGAAACCGCAAACCAATGAGAAGACGAGACCTAGCCTTAATGACATGAATCAAGATTTTGGACAAAGTCGGCGAAGTAAA